CAGCTCCGGGGCTGGAGGAGGGCAACCCGGCCGGACCGCCGGAGGATGGAGCTGGCACAAATGGAGAACGTGGAAAAGCCACAGGAGGAAACCGAAACATGCCTCAGTAAGAGATGCAGGTCAGCTGCAGGGGTTTAAAAGATACGCACAAACACCCCTTCTCCAGGGATAAGAAAGGTGGAGAGCTCAGAAGAGGCTACCGAGTCGTGCTCGTCCACCCTCCTTCACCCAGCCCCAACGGTACTTGGAGGGAAGCGCAGGAAGCAAAGCCCTTCGCGGCAGCACCCGCACTGTCTCCCCGAGGACGCCCTGGGCACAGCATCATTTCCCACGACCCTACATCACCCACATTTTCACGGAGCAATCTCGGCGAGGAACGGAAACCCACGGTGACTTAGGGGGGTTGTGTGGAAACGTCTACTCCAGCCCGCGAGGCTGTGGGAGAGCGACGGCAAGGTCTGAGCCTTGCCTTTTGATCACGGACCCAGGCAGTTACTTGGAAGTACGTACTGCTTCTTAAGACATCTTTAAAATTACGTTAGTTCTTATTACAGCAATATAGCAGGATCTAAATTCAAAGGTAAGCTTTGCGTGGGCGTAAATTCCAACGGACTTCATATCAGCAGCTTCTTCCCACTAATGATTCCTCAGATTATCTCAAGAAAAACTATTAAGCTGCAAAAGACTGGAAGTTAGCGATGTCTTTTCTTTCACACAAGCTGCAGCATTAGCCTCATACGGCAACAACTGGAGAGGAATCTCTAGAAGAGTATGGGAGCTTAGGGTGGGAAATGAAGGTGTTTAAATGAAGGTTCAGGAAGATGCTATTTTAAGAGGTTCAATGTCAGCACGACCTCCAAGGGCTAGAAAGAAAGGCTCCTGGAAGGCTATGAAGCAGACTCCAAAAAGCACATAAAAACTGGTGATTTAAAAGATAAAGGATTTTAGAACCACCTCTGGCTATTTAGCAACCACAGTTCTCATGAACAAGCCAGCTAGAGCAAATCCTGGATCTGGGACAAAAATGCATTGCAAGCTTGGTTCTTAATTTTGGGAAGGGGTGCAACGACAGACCTCTTCTCCTGCACGGTTAACAGCGAGGAAGGAAAAGAGCACCTTCTTCTCCATCAGTCTCAGCTGCTCTTGGCTCAGTTTTATCAGTCAGCTTTACCCATCAGATCCAGGAGCCACCTTCTCCTGCAGTATAAAAGGCTTTAAACTTAGAAATGAAGAGACTTCAACCCCCCAAAAAGTGTAATTCTGAAGTGCTCAACAGCCTTTAATTCATTATGAACCTAGAGGCAGAGAAAAAAAATATGCAAAAAATACATCACATCCTTAATCTAGGGGGAGAAAAAAAATCATTGTTTTTATAGCACATCATCAGACACTTACAAATATATTTCACTGCAGGAAGGGGAGGGTAGGAATGTGCATTTCCCATTTCCTTTTCAATAGTCTGATGCCCAGAGGCCATCAATAGGGTCAATATTGATAATCTGCACAAGTCATTCCTAAACCAAAAAAAGAGGGATTTAAAAATAAACAAAAAGGGAGAACCCTTGCAACAAGGGCGGGCATTCTACAGTTCCAGGTTCACGTTTAAACATAACTCAGCATCCGAATATGGGGTGAGGAAACACACGTTGTTTTTACAATATAAATAGTGTTTTAAAAAGGTACTACATATGAACACAGTAACGGTGCTATTTCAGTCAGGACTTCAACATGCAGAGGAAACTCCCCATTGCTCACAACCACTCATCCCATCCCACCCTTCCCCTCCCACCTCCAAAAAAAATCCTCTGCTGTTTAAATTCTCTTTCAATTCTTTTAAATATTTCTCTTGTGGCCTGGCAACATTCTTATTCTTTTATACAAGCAAATTTTCTACTAAATCACGTCTTAACCGACAGGAAACAGCTATGTAGGAGTAACAACCGAGGCGTTTAAGAACCTTGCCAATTTTTGAAACTTTTATTAGTCTCAGTTTGTTTTTATTCTTGGAGACATCTATTGAAAACGTCAAAAACTCAGAAATAAAAAAAACCCTGTTTCAAACGTCTCACAAACACGCACGCGTGCACACGCGCACAGACACGCACACACAAAGAAAATAACCCGTAGCAGAGGCAGTAAGAAATAAAGGGAACTCCAATTCTCTCAAGGGAGAACAAAAACCAAAATAATAAAAAAAAAAAATTGCTTTATTCTATCTCCACTCTTTCACTAGGACAGTTTAATACCCATCGAGTCTCTTAAGACACTAATCTACCATCTGCCAGCCCACAAATCCTTCCCACTTATTCCCTTAAAGATCCCGCTATAACGTTGCTTAAAAACCTCTCCGCAGAACAATGACCACCTTGCAAATGGGCTTAAAAAAAAATTGTTAAAAATAATATTGTCTCTTTCTGTCCAGTAATTTCAGGGAATTAAGTGGGAAAGATGGCTGCGCAGCGTTCTGGGTAGCTCTGCTACCCCACAGCGGCTTCCGCCAGGCCAAGGCATCGAGGCGAGCGGTACGACGCGCCCGTGCCCCCCTTCACCCAGACACTGTGGAAGCCACGTCCCCTTCCCAGCTCTGCGCTACGGCTGCCCTTTTCTTTCCCTCGGAATTGATAGAGGTCCTCCAAAGAGAGTGGAAGACTTTCCAGTGACTTCAGCAGGGTTTTGGACCAGGTTCTTTTACAAAACACTGCTCCGTAACAGCTCTTCGACCGGAGGTGATTCTCAAGTGTTCAAGTGGGAGCTGCCCACTTCATACTTCAGGATTTCTTTTTGCCTTTAACGCTCGTTCAATTCTCAGTCAACTGAGTCCAATCAAATGAAGGGCTTGCAGTCCTCTTCCCCAGGAGTATCTTAAAGGCTCAGTCTTTACTTAAGTAAAGGATGTCACGACAATCAAAGGTGTTTGGGGAATTTCTTCTTTAATAGGATAAAAGAAAAACATACAAACACCTCCCGGGCTTCTGTCATGGAATGATTCTCACAACTGTAAGGAGCACAACTCAAAAAAAAACCAAAAACAAAAACAAAAAACCAAAAAAAAAAACCAAAAAACCAAAAAACAAAAAAAAAAAAACAAACAACGAGAGAGAGACAAAGAAAAGAAAAAGGTTCCTATGGGAAACATGCCTACCAGAGAGCTAGAGCAATCCCTCGATGCTCTACTCTGCAGTGGGGAAGGGGGATGGCTCGTAAAGGAACTAACACAAGAAGCAGCAACAGAACACTTGCCCAAACGGAGTGGCATATTGTAACTGAAAGCCATGCTGATTTTTAACTAGAAAGCAACTGTGATGGCAAAGATGGGGAAGGAAGATGACAAGAATGACCAAAACCTGGCCATTTCTTCCCTAAGTCCCTTCCTGGTGACACGGCAGAAACGCACACATCTATCACATGTCTTTAAGAGAACTAACGGTAAGAAACAGCCCAGCTATGAAACATTTCTTTCCCCATCTTCCCCAGCTTACAAAGAAGATAGTGTTTCTTTACAAAAAAAGAACCCAGAATTTCCCAGGACATCTGCTCTTGCTCTCTCTCCCCGCTGCAATATTAGTCACATTTCATCTGGGGGCGAGGGGGAAGGATTTTCTTTATTTTCTGTTTTAAAGCCATAATCTAGAAAAATGTTTTGTGGAAACTTTTCTTTTCCTATTTTTGTTTGCTTTTTTTTTTTAATAATGCTCATTTATAGAAAACTTCACAAAGGTGACGTCTATGTACAGAAAACACAATTCCAAAGGCTGCTTCAGTAGTCAATGTAATAGCACCTTTAAAGACAAAAGAGTTTGACATATTTTAAAAAGTCGTTTTGTCAAATTTTAACCCTTTCCAAGCCTCATAAAAAGGAGCCAGTCACAAAGCTCCGTTAGTACAAACTCTTCCGAAGTCTCCGTGTGAAATGCTGTCTGAAGGTTTTTCAAGCTCCCTACTCTATTGGTCAGCAACGTCTGGCAAAGTAGAGGTAGCGTGCAGCCAGACAGGATTTTCTTGCCGTCCAAACCAAGAGCAGATGAAAGGAATTCACAGCAGGCTATTGCACAAGGATGGTCTTCTATTCCACAGTTTCCTGGTTATTTTTCCACAGGCTTGAAAAGGGTTAATTTAATATTTTTAATGAATCCTGGTTAAAACATGTTGCTCTGAGTTCCAGGCTGGTACTGTGTCTGCAACAGGCTCTCCATAAAGGCCAAGTAATCTGGGTTTTGTCCGTATTCTTCAGGATTTCTTGAATTCCCCAGCCGGGGGCGTTTGGCCGCTCTCACTTCATCTCCCGAAAATACATCTTCCTGAGGGGCCCCAGTGCTGAGGGACTGCAGGAGACACGAAAGTACAATCGTTAGAGGCACAGCAGGAGAACAGGGAGAGACACGGGTGCAAGCCGTGGAGCATGCCTGCGCCGCAGGACAGCAGGGATAGCAAGTGAAAAATCTGGTTCAGAGCATTTCTGCAGAAAAAGCGAACTCCAAAACATGCAAAGCATACAGCTGAAATTAAAAATTCTGGGCTTCTGAAACCAAACCGGAAAGAGAAACCCTCGAGTTGCCTTCTTTCTGTTTCAAAATATCTTTCACTTCAGCTTCTCTCTTGCCAATTCTCTGTTTACTCCTATCCTCCTCTGCCTCTTCAGGATATTCACTCCTGGTAGAAAGCACAGAGGAAATCTGGGCATCCCTAATATCTTTTGTAAAAAAAAAAAGAACCAAAGAAAGCATCTGGGCAATCACTGTACGAACAATTGCTTCTGTTCGTCCTGCTCTTCACTCTCAAATGAGATGCATTTCTTGGTAGAAATTATCTCCTATTGCTTTGTTCCTTTGTTCTGCTGTGCTACGTTAAAGCGCTGTGAGCATCACTTCCACAGAGCAGAGTCTAACGCTTCTGGCAGCAGAAAGTACATGAAAAAAGCCTTCGCTTTCAGCCAGACTTGAAACTTTCTATTCACCTTCCAGCTCGCATTCCTTTCTCTGAACTGTTATAAAGCCCTATGTCTCCACTGCAGAGAATATGCTTCTTTCCAAATCCTGCATTTCAGGGCTCCACTGTGTTGTCTTTATTATTACTATGATTAGACAAGCTTAAATAGACTGGAATATTATGCACATCCTAGAAATTAATTCTAGGGTGCTGCTTTGCCACCGAAACTCTTTCAAAGATAACAAGGTAAATTATTATTAACCTCTCAAATTTATGCCATGAGGTCTTACAGAGATAAACAACTTCAAACAAGATGGAGAAGCCATCCAGAGCTACGTTTCAGAAAGCATTTTACAAGCGTTTTTTGGGTAAAACCCTTGAAGATTTCATGCATAAGCAAGCAGAAGTTTCCTCTAAATTGTCATCGCTTCTTCCACAGAATTGCCTCTCACCAGGCCATTTTTGACGATGTGCCTCTCGCCCTTCTGCTAGTGGCCATGGATTCGCAGGGTCGCTGAATCACTGGTTTAACTTGGCACAGCAATTCCTATATTCTTAAGGGAAGGTTTTTTGTCTTGTCAAAAAGACAGAAGCCCACAACCTTATCCCAGGTTAACTTTGTGGATCCGTCCCTGCCCTGCAGTGTCTGACATAACAGACATTTAGAATGAAGAAGAAAACTGTATATTCTCCATTTGCGGAGAAAACCAGTCTCATCATTTGTTTAAATGAGATGGCTTTAAAGGTTGAAGCACCAGGTTTGCAAAAACCCAGCAAGCCTGGAACCAAAAAAGCTATGAAATAAATCCCTCATATTTTCTAGGCTCAGTAATTCCATTGTACGCAGGTAAAGACATCCTGATCTTTTAGATTAAGAGCTTTATAGGCAAGAGCTACGTTCTAAATCTCCTATTTGGTGAGAAAAGTTGGTCTCGTGTCGCTAATCAGTTCTCCAGAAACCGCTTACCTGTAGACCGATTCTTCTGACGAAAGGCAATACTCAGACAGAATGGCAGTCCATATAACTAAATTCGTACGAGTGTAAAATGATACAAACATAATCTTTTAACCAGAGAAAACAAAAATCAGATCTGATCCTGCGAAAGGGAAAATCATTTAAATGCTTCCCAAGCATCTACATCAAGAATTTCTTCCACTCTACGTATTTTGTGAATGACAAGCGGTTCTACAGCCACAGAAATCGGCCGCATTCACCTAATGTCTAAACAATACGCTAAGAAAATGTGAACGAGTACTGCACGTCACAGCCGTTCCGCTGTTTCTGTTACTTTGATACCCACCAGGCGAGACTTCACTCTCTTGGGAAGCTCTTCCTCCAAGGTATAAATATCACCACGCTTTACCATTAATTGGGAACCATCTTCAAACTCGACCTGTAGAGTAGGGCAGAAGATGAAGTAAGAACTTGGCCTCTGCAGTCACAGTACGTCAACAGCCCCTTCCCAGACTACGCGCGTATGGCCCCTCCTTATGGCCCAGGAAGCATCAGGGGCCGGCTCCCACGGGCGATCCCCTGTTCTTGGCACCGCGTGTCTCCAGGATTCCTGCAGAAGGAGCGTCCCTAAGCTGTGTTAAGGATGCTGAACCCAGAAAGTGCTGGTTTCAGTGCTGCTCAGGCTCTCCTGTCTTATCTGGCCCAAGCGGTTTCGTTCGGTGCTACTGTGGATCCTAAAATGCCTATGCTACAGCTGGACCAGCACCTCTGCTCCCTCCTCCCAGTCACAGCACTAGAGATTGCCACTGATTTTTGCTTCAAATCCTGAAAAAAAGCAGCTTTTCAGTTACAGTAAAAGGCAGCCATGTATTCAGGCAATATGGTAATAAGAACTTCTTTCGTCTTAAACAAAGCATTTTCAGATGTCATGAGGAAACAACTCCAGCTACTAAAATACATTTGTATTTTAACAAGGAGAAATAGGCAGCCAGGTACAAAAACCGGCCAACTCCTCATATCAACCCTTTTCTGCTAAGCGCTGATTAGATGCGAATTATGCATCAGGTGTAACAGGAACGTTTATTCGTGGAAACGTGCATACAAAAATGTTAAAACCATTAAAAGTTTTTAAGAGAGTCTCATTTCCTTTGCTCAAAACTTATTACGCTTTTCTGGATAACGCAAAAGGACATGCACCACAGCTTAATACGGGATGTTAGGTTCAGATCGCACAAACTCAGAAGGAAGAAGGCTTCTGTGCTCTGAACTCCTCCTCCTGCGCTGCCCAGGTCTTGCAGCTCCCCAGTTACGCACGCTGAGGTCCCGTAACCGCGCAGCAAACGTCAGCTGGACTAGCTGTGCAGGAGGAGGCAAAGCTTTGAAAGACGAGCCCTGCTGCGGTGGTTTAAGCTGCTACCGGTCCCGTTTACTTTTCACAGACCACCACTACCATAACAGAGTCAGAAGGGAACAGAAATCATGAAGTTTAAGAAGCAGATTGCTGTTTCCACTACACGAGCTCAACTCCTAGTAGACAGGCAGGATTTGCGACCGAGGGCAGGGACATCTTAAAGTACAACAGAGTGGTTGGACCTTGTTTATTAAAGTTCCAAATTACTGATAGGGTTAGACCCCTGTTAGGAGCACATATTAGTGCAAGTTAAGAGACAGTCATTTGGGCTCAATTATTTTTTTTTTCGATCTATGCATCTAATCTTAGCAGACAAAATAATTAAGAGATGTGAACTGGGAAGCCACTGCAAAATAAGACAAGTTTAAAATGCAAAAGCTAATCCGTGCTGTCGTCTTCCTATGAATGCACTTATCTCATAACAAAACTGTCTCTGTGTTTTTAAATATAATCCTATTCCAAAACAGATAAAAGAGAAGCACCATAAGAACTGAAAAAGCATCTACATAGGGAACCAATATGGAAAGCTATTCAGGCTATTTTCCCCACGGAGAAGAGCTTTACTTATAGGTAACTGCATGATTTGAAAAACACAGACTCTTCATGCATATTTTTCTGTCATCTGGCACTATCAGCGGAACAGCCTATTTCAAATTATTGTACCTTTGAGAAATCAATGACAATTTCCTATACTTTGATTAAACCGGAAAGCGTGCATAACAATAGATCTTTATGGAACTATATATTGTACTTATTCATAACCAGGGTCACCTCAGATCACAGCTTCTCTGAAGCAGTTAACATCCATTATACACACCAAAAAGACTGTTAACTGACAGGGTGGGTTATTGTGCTCTTCGCATACAGATATGAAACACTCAGCATAGAAAGGATAGAAACCAGAACCCCACTTCAAACAACTACAAGATATGGGACTTCCTTTGCCTTTTGTCCAGGGTCATTAATCTCTTTAAAACAACAATTATTAGCAAATTTAAGCATGTATTTTTCAAAAGGGTGTGCACAAAGTATACTTTCCAAATCACTGTAATTTTCAGCTTCTTGGTATCATTTAAAATGGATTTAATCGAATGAATGTACTGCATCTTATAAAACCATCCGTGCTGAAATACTAGCACCATACCAGGTTAAATCTTCCCTTACGACTACAACCTTCCACAAACAAAAATCCCGTATGTGGAACAGACTCAAAAAAAACCTGGCTGCTTTTTTTCTCACCTTAAAAATAGAGATGGTGAGAGTGTATGAGACTATAGATCGAAGGTTTCTAATTCCTCACACAACAGCAGCAGGACGTTATTCCCACATGCTGATGCTGCTCCACAAAGTACCTTCCTGTGACCAGAGAATTATTCCTCCCCAGGAAGTAGTCTCCTGACCCATCCTCTCCCTTACTTCCTCTGGAAGTGTCAAGGAAAGTTGTAATTATGTAGATACTGACTCATGGGGAAACAAGAGACCACGAGCCCAGCTCCAGCCATAGAAAAGCCATCACAGAGTAGTTCAAGTCAGTCACTTTTGACCCGAGTCAGATGTGAACTGTAAGGAAAAGGGCAAATTTATTTTTATTTTAAAAGCAGATACAGTCTAGACATATGTCTACCCATACATACACGCTCTACCACAAAAACCTCTACTCTAATCCTACTTTAACATTATATTTCTCTTTAGGCTACCACAGTATTAATTTCAGGAGGCAAATTCTCCCTTCATGACCAGAGCAAGAATTCAACACCAGTGAACTATGCAGTTCGAGCAACAGACATGTTGACGTGGAGTAAGTGGGTACTCTTCCATACTCACCTGGTAAATCTGACTGATCTGGGCTGCAATAAACTTGGCCTTATAGATGATTCCATCTGTCCACTGCAGTTGAACCAACTCACCCTCTGGAGGGGGTCCCATTTGGATGCAGTCTCTGCTCTGAAGACACAGAGTGAAAGAGGTCAGCCAGCCAACACCAACAAAGCTCAAGAACTAGGTAAAGAGGTGTGTTTAAATCGCTGCTCAACACTATAATTAAGTGTAAGAAAGTTTCTGCCCTTGTGATTAATTTCAGTCGTCTCAAACAAAACCATTAACCAGTGAGAGACCAGAAATAAACATTTGCACCTCCTTCTGGTGACAGTACTCAGTTCTAAGACATTTCTCATTACAAATCCCAAAACATCAGATCTCCTACATCAGCAAAAACAGACGGGGTGACCTGCTCTGTTTCACATGGTGACTCAGTGGCACAATCAGGAAGCCAATGCATGAGTTGACAAGTCAGCCTCTTCTACACATTCCTTCTGTTAAGTGAATTCCCTATTTTGAACCAGAAGTGCTTACAGACAATCTGCTTCCCCCATGAATCACACTTGTCAGTTGAAAAATAAGAGATCATTCAACCACAAAACAAATAGGATGAAACTTAAACCAAACATTGCTTTCTGTTAGGTCATCTGCATACAGCAAAATCAGATCTTTGTAAAGGAACAAAAAAAAAAAAAAGAGATGTCATAAGCAAGAAGAACAGTAATGAAGTGCAGCATGAGTTTTTCTATGCAAGCAGCAATTTAAAAAAAAAAAAGTAAATTAAAAAGTAAAGTTTTACTTTGTTGTTCCACCCCAAAGCACACGGAAGAGGAATGCACACACTACACTTTGTACTCATCTATAATGGCAATAGTGTCCACAGAGAGCTGCTTACAATAATGCTTTCTGGGTAAACGTTGTCACTGTATGAACCATCATCAAAGTTGACTTCATAGAAAGTCTGTGTTGTCATGCCGATCACTTTACATCTGTAGTAGAGTCCATTCCGGTTCTTTGTGATCACAGTCTGGCCAAGGGTCACCTCCCTTCGAAACTGAATCTGCATTGTGGAGAAAAGGGAATAATTTGCAATTTGCAATCACAAAAGCTGCGTCAAAAGTACAGGCGTAGAGAAACTGTTCTACAAAAGAAAAAGAACAAACCCAAAAAACAAACCACCAAAAGAAAACAAAACCCCAAACTAAACCCAAAACACATACGTTCTGGTTAGCTGCTTTGTGTTTGAAGCAAGTGATGGACACGACATAGGGCCAGTCATCTGGCTCCATGGGCACGCCGGCTGCGTGCGCACAGGTCACGTGGAAGGACGTGGAGCAGTGCTCATACGAGCACTGGATGCAGGCACCAGACACCTTCTTCATCCGTTTCCGACAGTACACACATTTCTGAAAAGAAACACAGGGCAGCGTTACGCGCTCAGCGGCAGCTTTACCACAACGCAGGCAGGCACCCGCTACCCGACACGGAGGAAAAGTC